AGTGGAGCCGTCGCTCGACGTCGTGTAGCGACAAGCCTTTTAAATTTTAAAAAATGCTTATGACACAGAAAAATTTATGATTTCTTTCGGAAAACTATGATTTTCAGAAATAACCATTAATATTTTTGATAATTTTCATGAGAATAAAAAAATCAATGTTTTTCAAAACTTACATATTGGAAAATGTTTAAGAAATAAGAAACAAAAATTCTCTAACAAAAAGATTTATTAAATGCTAAACCACTATTTTTTTTGAAATGTTCACGAAATAAACAAATTATTCTCTTAATTAGATTATATTTTTCAAGAAATTAAGAAATCATATATATATTTTTTTAAAATTTCTCAACTCAATAACTAAAAAGAAAAAATTATATTGAAAATGCCCAACCACTGTTTTTATTTATTATTATTTGTTAATCATTTTAGAATATTTTGATTTTTTTAAATAATTTTCTATTTATTAATAAATTAAATTTTGTTAATTATTCCTTCATAGGATAGGAATAAGTTTTTCGTGCAACACGAATAATCCACGTATTCATGGAAATATGGATAGGGATAGAAAGACATGAACTAGGGATAAAAAATGGCAGTCTTCGTGAGTTAACTGATATAATTAACGCCTTTTTATGTTTTTTTTTTCCTTTAATGCGTGCATGGCTATTGCATTTACTGCCTATATTTATTTATATTTGATGAATTTATAAAAAAATTATTTTCAAAGGTTTTCATTAAAATTTGAGTCTTAAATGATAAAATATAAAGAAAAAAAATAGGTAGTTTATTTAATTTCATTCATAGAACAATAATTCGTTGAAACAAATAAATTTAGGGTTTAATTTTGCCCCATAAGTTTTGAAGCGAGTCCAATTAATTTCTCTTCTTCAAGTTTCGTCGTTTTAATGTCTCCTTTAAAGTTTAGTAATCTATTAATATCCTTCTCCAGTTTATCCAAAGGAAGACAATTTTTTTTTAATTAAGCCCCTAAACAGTTAAAATTTGATCAAATAGAACCATCGTAGAATAATTTGATAACATCAAATCTTTTACTTCAATTAAAATGTCCAAATGATACGGTGTATATCGTTTATGATTAAAAATATAAGATATAAATTAAAATTGATATTTATTCTAATATGGTTTATATTAAAAACAAAGAAAAAAGCACAACATAATATATATAAAAATGAGAAGAAATAAAATTAAGAACACCCCAGATGATTAAAACCTTAAAACTTAGAAGCAAATTAATGTTAAGCTTGAACGTGATGTGATGAGTGCTTGACTCATCAAAGAAAATAAAATAAAGCAACAATTTTATTCAATGAACTCCATAGTTTAAACTTTATCTTTGTATGTACTTTTTAATTTGATATGTATTATATTATTTTTTTTATAAATTATTTACATGAGATTATTTAGAGTTTTTAATTGAAATTAGAAGACAGTTGAGAATAATTTAACTTATTGGTTAACTAACATTTTCATATATATATATATGTCTTTCCACACTGAGGGTGAACAATCGACCTGAAACTTGAATCGAAAAACAATAAAAGAAGTAGTAGAAAGTGGCTTAGTAAGAACTTTTGCAAATTGATCGTCAGAGAAGATAAAATGAATCTGAATCTCTTTCTTCACAATCATATCTTATACAGAATGATAGTTAACCTCAACATGTTTATTATGAGCATGAAAGATAGAATTCGCAGATAAATAAGTAACCTCCTAGATTATTACACCAAATAGTAGGAGTAGAGGCAAAATGAATTTGCAAATCTCTCAATAGATGCTGAAGTCAGATAACCTTAGCAGTGCCATCTGTCAAGGCTTTATACTCAGCTTCATTTAAGGAGCGAGTAACTATACGTTGCTTGTTTGATTTTCATGAAACCGACATCTGACCAAAAAAGACAAGATAAACCACCTATAGACTTACGATCATCAATACTACCTGATCAATCTGCATATGTAAAGCAAATGAGAAATCGTGAGTGATATATAAGCTGTAGGTGGTTATACCCCATAGATAATATAAAGTGCGTTTAATAGCACCCCAATAAAAATTTGTAGGAGCATGCATAAACTAACATACCCTGTTAACAGTAAAGCATATATCTAGTCCCATAAAGGTGAGATATTGAAGAGCACCCACAATCTGACAAAGCTGTGTAAGATTAGAAAATAAAGGATTTGGTAGTATGGTGATTTTGAAAGCAAAGATAGGAGTATCAACCGGTTTGTAGGAAGTCATACTAGCCCGAGTGAAGATGTCAAGAATATACACATGTTGTCATAACATTATACCCATAGCACTGGACTGAACCTCAATGCCCAAAAAATAATGAATCGCGTATAAGCCATGAAGCTTGAACTCTAAACTGAGTAACTGTATTAGGCAGTATAACATAGTAGAGTTGCTATACATAAGTAGAATGTCATTAATATTAATCAGAAGATAAAAAATATCAGCACTAAACAAGATAAATAAGGAGTTTTTAACCTTAGAAACATGAAAGCCAATAAAAAGCAGAAAGTCACTCAGATGAGTGTACCATACTCGTGGGGCCTGTTTTAAATCATATAAAGATTTTCAATTACATGAGAAGGAAGAGTAGGGTCGATAAAACCTGAAGATTGTGTCATATAGACTTTTTTAACAAGAACATCATTGAGGAAGGCATTATGAATATCAAGTTAATGAATCTTCCAATTACACAAGATTCAATAGAGAAGACTAATCTGACGGTTTTTTGGTTAACAATTGGACTAAAAGTTTCAGAATAATCAATGTCTTCTTGCTGAATACAGCCTTTAACAACTAAACATGTCTTATATCGCTCAACATTGTCATCCATAAGGCACTTTATCATGTACACCCACCGACTACAAAAAACATTCATCAAAGGATAAAAAGGAACCAAGGACTATATGTTATTAGAGTGTAAGGCCAAATTTCACAATGTATAGCACCATGCCACACCTCATAAATGTCAGCATAAAAAAATGCAATGGGCTTAGAGGTAAGAGACAACATTACCAGACAAATAGGTGCAACAAAGAAGGTCGCAGACGTTGTTAGAAGTGCAATTTTAGGCAACCTTGGGTGAAAAACCATTAGATGTTGACAAGCGATAGACTAAAGGGGATAAAAATCTAAATTGGAAAGCTGCTAAAGCGGATAAGAGGAAAGATCAACAACGAGTTGTAAACCTATAAGGAAATCTATCGAAGGACTTGAGCTCATAGTAGTAGATGTAGGAGAGCTTGCCACATAATTGGTGTTGGCTATAGTAACTGAAAAATGCAATTCTAAAGGAGGAGAACCTATTCATACGTAATGATCATAAGAAAAACATGTAGATGGTGATATAAGGACAAAGTTAGGTGACAGTGATATGGTGGCAAAAAGGTTGGTGAATAGGGGCTTGTTTGTGTGGAGCTGTAAGGGTGGCAGATCTACTTGTAGGGGTGATTGACGGGTCATCTAGGTGAACAACTAGGGAGGTAATCAAGGCAGGTAAATGCATAGAGGAAGAACCAGCAGAATTCTCAAAAACATGAGATGAAGAACATGACACTAAGCCATCAATAAAGTGAAAAACACCTTAAACAAGGAGATATGACTTCATCTGCATTCTCTAATAGAGATAATTTGTGTTTGTAAGTTTCAACGCAACAACTTGGTGGGTGTTTGATAGAGTAATGACAGAAACTTACAATAAGAACTCATTGACATATTTTGCAAGTGAAGATTGTTGTTGTGAAGGAAGGACACCATCGGTAGCAACTTTTAGATGGCTGGCTAGGATACATCACTAGTAGTGAAGGAGAAGTCGGTAGTAGCAACAGTAAAGTTTATTTAGGAGAGGAAGAGAAAAAGTCGACTGCAAGGGGGAGAGGGAGAGAACATTACAACATAAAAATATATCTATAATATTTTCTATAAATGTACATTCTATAACATAAAAAACAACAAAAAATTAAGAGAACATCTTTCAATCAATTGACTAATAGTACTCATTTAAGAGGATATTTTCATATAGTGAAAAATAATTTCCATAAAACTACCTGCCAACTGATCATAATTTGTTATTGATTCATTGCTTAATCACCTAAATTATCATTAATATCACAACAATTACTTTCTCATTGCTAGGTGTCATAATTCATATCACTATTTTGTTATCAACGCAATAATCACTCATGATGGCAAAGGTTAAATAACCTGCTGATAATTAATGAATTTTAGAAATAAATATAATAATTTCTGAAAGCATGCATAGCTAAATAGAAATAAAATAAAAAATTTAGAAAACGATATAAAAACCTAAAACCTCTAAAACCCCTCGCTTAGTAGTTGTTTCACTGACTGATACGGTGAAAAACAAAAAGAATTTAGACAATGAGCTTTCCTCTTCGGTGGATACCAATAGAGAGACGCCAAGCATCAAGAACACACTCTGGAAGCAACCAAGCAAAGCACCACTGAAATGAGTGAGCCCAGTAAGGAGCGCACCGTGCTTCATAGCCTATTCGACCAATTGCAGACTTTGCATAATCTTCTGGTGTTGGTATGAAGAAGGACGATCTTCCAATCGAAGCTATTTTTGAGGTCATTTTTGTTGCAACATATAGTGGCACCTGAGGAGGAAGCCTTAATCACATCATTTAATTCATGAAATTACCTCACTATTTTTCTAATAACTTAGAAATTCTTTTCTTCATAATTGAATTGTTAATTATTTTTTTATAAACAAAATTATTGGCAAACTCAAAAGTAGTTAATGATATTTAGAAAGTTTTTGAAAAATTTTAATTAGACATTACAGATAAAAATACCAACAAATAAATTTAAAATATTAATATTTAATTAATAGTAGGGAATTCTATAAGTAAAAAACTGATACACATATTTTTGGTGCTTAATTTCACATATACTCTTAGCCTAATCTAGTGTTTTATTCTTGTTTTTAGTTTATTTTTCATGCAATTAACTTTTTTCTTAAATGTAGGTACAAATAACTGAATAAATGATCTTAAAAGATATTTTAATGTTTTTTCTATAGAAGGAGTTTTAGAGGACATCTCAAGCTTTTCAGAAAGGTATTTAATTACTAGAGTATGATGAATTTAGGATTATATGAGGAGGCAAACATCAAAGTAAGCTTAAAATTCAATCACTAGTTGGTCTGCCTTAGACAAAGCTGAGTTCTTATTGGTTTTTAGGTTATAACAAGAGTTGTTTATGGGTCTCAAATTCTTATGAAGATAAAAAATCCTAATTTTGTTGTTTTAAAACCTACAAAACAAGTTAAAATATAGAGTCCGAACTAGATAAAAAATCCCTGCAACCCATAAATTGTCTCGGTGTTTTAACCTATCTCGAGTTTCAAATATTAAAAAATTGTAAGGACAATGATTCCAAATGGTTGTGCCAAACATAGAGAAGTCTCAATTTACATGTTTTCTAACCCAAAATTAACTCGTAATATCAAGGAAAAAAAAGAGTCAGAATTTATAATAAAAATTAAAATATATTTTTTTTTTTTTGAAGGATAAAACCAGGACTACAAAGCCCTTTTGGATAGCAACTAAAAGGAGTTTTGGAGACCGTAAACACTCGAGAAAAGAGAGGAGCTGACATCTAAAAGGAAGGTTTGAAAAAAATAAATAATTAAAGTTGGTTTTATCTTGGAAGCATTAAGCTATTACTATTTACAACTAAAACCTTTTATTGGGTTACTAAGGGGACATTGTTATGAACTCTAATTAAATGATCATTTAATTTTATATTTTATTTCATTCATTGATCTTAATTTTTGATTGCTTATGAGAATAATTAGGCTAATACCCAGTTGATTATGAGTGGTGATTAATTGTGAGATTTGAATGGATGAAATATTATTCTTAATTGGAATTTTTTACATAGAGGAATGAACTAATATTGAATTTATAAGAAGTATTTGGTGTATGATTTACCAAAGTTTTGAGCTTTAAAATTCGTTGATAAGATTGATTGCTTATAACAACTATTTTGCTTGATTGAATTTAGTGTCATTAGCCTGAACATCTAACGAACTTGACAAAACCTAAGATTGGACTTTATGCCAAACTTGAATTAAATTAAAATCAATAAGGGATTAATTAATCATAACCGAGATATCCAATATTTGCTACAATTGCTACAATTGTTTTCCTTTTCTATTGTTTTCAATCCATACCCTTTTTTCTTGAATTATTTAGTTTACTTAATTTTCTGTGAAGCAATTTGGTTGATTTGGTTAATTTACTCTACTAGCAAATCCTTGGGACGATCTTTTGGGTTTAACTTGCCATGTATACTATATGTGATACGTGCATTTGTAGGCTTTATAAATTTAAGATTTGTGTGTATGATATGTGAGTGTTAAAAACCTCGTAAATTAAAAGACAAGAATCTATCTGTAAAATTATTACTAATGAAGTAACTGATATATAACAAATTATCAATGAAAGTTTCTTTAATAAAGTATTATTATTCGTTAGCCTACCAGTAAAATATATATTGACAAACTAAGAATATAAATACTAACATAAAATTTAATCGATAAATTTAAAACTCCTACTACTGATATATATATATATATATATATATATATATATATATATATATATATATATATTGTTATTCTCTTCATGATATAAGATACTCTTTTTCCTCATTTTAGTAAGTTAAACATCGAAAGGACTCTTATTTATATAGAGAGGAGCACAAAACAGCCAAGTGCAGACACATCAACCCATCAAACACTCGTGAAAAGCCGAAATTCATTTGAAATTTTCATGACTTCACCGCACATTTATTATGAGTACTCAGGTCACCTAACCTGATTTAATTCTTCAGAAACTGTACTAATGTAGTTCTTATCTTTATACTTCGATATACCAGACAAATATGGGTTATGGAGATGTAGCCACCAGCAAGAACAGAGATATGATGGAAGTTATAATACCTGACACTGTACATGGATTCCATAACGTTTGTACTCCACGTGCAGACATCTCGAAAATTGGTCAACATATCTGCAAGGGCTCAGCACAACTCGGTAGAGTAATTAGAGATCACTCCTAAGAAGAGATCATATTGCTACTGTAGCAATTTCAAAGCCACTGAGAAGTAATACAATTTTAAAATAATATATAAAGATATCTATTAAATTAAAAGGAAATGAGAAATTAGCAGTGCCGATTATAGATGATTAAGCTGGAGAATTTTTTTTTTTTTAAATATTTGATGGGGATTAGAGTATTATTTTTAATGGTTATTTGTTTCCCATTGTTCTTGCACAAAATAAAGCTTACAAAAACTTTAAGTAGCCCATTAGATTCTACTTGATTTTATTTTTCCTGGATGAGCTTCCTATTTTATTTATTTTTAAGAAAAACTGCTATTTAATAATTATCCCAAAAAAGAGAAAGCTATGCATTTTGATTTAAATTTCATTATTAATTAATATCTTTTTCAAAACATTTTCTTATGTAATCACAATATTTATTTTTAAAATATATGTAGAAACATTTAATTTCTCCCAATTTAAATAAGTATAATTATCGTTATATATTTTAAAATTAAAACATAAACTAAGGATTACACTCTTGCTATAAGCATACTAAAGAATACCACAAAACATGGAAAGAGGAGGCTCCGACTAGAAACCACCTGAAAACTCTTTACGGTGTACCGGCCATAATTAATAAATCATGATAAGAAAGGCGGTTGGTTGGTTCCGGTGTAAAGAAGTCTTCAATTCAGTGACCTAATGCCCTGTACATTCCTTTATATTTGACCTACCTTGAAAAACTATAGAACGAACAGTCAACATATATGTAACTAAAGTTCAGTCAACTTATTTTTCTGCCCTTCTAAGTGAGAGGGAGTGTAGTGTAAGCGTTTGAAAATTTTATATTATTGCAGAAATAACTAATAATAATTATTGTTTTACAAGTCATTTTAAGGGAGAGAGACGTGCGCAAAAATAAATTAAAAGGTTGAAAAAAAATCTAAACTCACCAAAAATGATAATAATATTTTCAATTAGAATAAAAATATATATTTTAAATTTTCTTCTATTCCTTTTGTATCTGTATCTCTCACATAGAGTACTAAGCATTGATAATTAATTTTCAAGTACTCTAAAATTTCTCGAGAAGATCATATTCAAACCTACAAAAATATTTTAATTTTTTTTTAATTCTCTAACACTTCTATGTTATATAAATAATTATCCTTTAGTAATCTAAAATATCTCTCATCCCATCTTTAGTTGTTTAATTAGTTAACTAATTATGATCAAATTTAAATAATTTATATTATTAGGAGTGCCAATATAAATAATTATTATTAATTACAACCTTTTGACATTGATTTATATATATATATATATATACACCAATTGATTCTTTCCTTTCCTTTCAAACCTCGTTTGTTTGTTTTTTTTTTTTTGTTCCCTTAATGCTTATCAAAATTAAAAGATAGAAGAAAAAAATCAATATAAACACCAAAATTTTGAGTTAGAAATTGAAAAATAGTGGTTGAGAAACAAAGAGAATGGTTCATGGTTATGCAATGCTTACGCTTTGGTAGCAGCATAGATTGTGAAGAGGGGATGTGAAGGCATGACACTAGAAGCTCCAGAGCCGATATTAACAATGGCACCTCTTTTCCTCTGAATCATCCCTGGTAAAACTGCTCTAGTAACTCTACTAGTGCCCTCCAAATTCACTCTAACAATGTCCATCCAAGCTTTCTCATCCACCTCGTGGAAAAACCTGGCCGCGGGGTACGTGATTCCCACGTTATTTATCAACAAACCAACATTTAATCCCTCTACGGCCTTTTGTATAACTCCTTGGACGGTACGAGTGGAAACTTTGCTTGAAAAATCAAACCCAACTGTCTTAATCTTGGTGCCTGGATGTTCTGCTAGGATTTCACTCGAGACTGTTTTGAGCTTGTTGGGGTTTCTACTCACTAATATAAGGTTTAGACCCTTTTGAGCTAGTTGATGAGCAAAGGCTTTGCCTATACCGTCAGTAGCTCCAGTGATGACAGCCCAGGAGCCATAGTCCTTGAGATCCTTTTTTCGTCTGAGAAACGTTGCATACACCCAGTTGAGAAGAAGGGTTGAGGTTTTGAGGAAGGAGATAAATCCAAGGGATGAGAAAAGAAGAAGCCACATGGGCTGGGGTAAGAGGTGGTTGATGCATGCTGAGAGCATTCTTCTTCTTCTCTTTTTCTTGGTGCTTTTGATGAGAAAGAATATGATCTATTTTGCTTGAGTTCAAAGGCATGCAAGGACTTTCTGCTCGTCCCTGGTATTGGCAATGATATATCATGATCAGCTAGCAATATTGACATTTACGCCTCAGCTGTCTGGCCATGATTCGTGTGGGTGCATGTGGTTGTCACATTATAGCTGTGAGGTCACTCGTACCTCTCTCTCGAATGCATGCCAGTACAAACGGCTAGCTGCAATGAACAAACTAGCTAGTTGCAAGAAAGGAAGAGTACTCGGCATGCAAGAGGTTCAGTTTTCTGGTTTAAAAATTAATCTGTCGCAAGCTAACTGTTTGATTAACCCTTCAAACCGAGCTTCATGGCACTTGACACAGAATAAGGTCTGGTCCACAGCAAAGAACAGGTCATTGTCGAGTGGCTCAGGTCTGGCTCAAATAGTCTGCTATGCAAAGGAATTGAGTGTGCTTTTAAATAATGTCTGGTCCACAGCTGCTACTGCCACTGCCGATTAAAGAGAAGAGAAAAGAAGAAATGTCAACATATTAGTGTTTTTCAATGATCAAGGAGATCTGTGAACTTCCAATCTTTAACCGTTAGTGTTTAAACTTCGAGCTAGATCTTCCAAAATAGAATTACCATGAATTCTATTATTAATCTTGAGGTGGATAGCATGTCTTTAACTGGATTAAAGAGATAAGTTAACCTTAATTTGTGAAAGCTTATTAAGAATACCCCTAATCATAACATAAAATAAAAACTTACTGATATTTTTTCTTATATTTGCTCCAAGGGCAATGGTAATATGAATAAATGGAAGATCTTAGTCGGGTTTTACACAATTATATAAGTTAATTAAATTAATTAACTCTCAAAATTGAGTTAAAAGTTTTTATCAGTATTTAAATTAACAATTTGTTTATGATTATTTTAAAAACTGAATCATGGATGAAAAAGATTAGTTAAAAAAACACTCGTGATTAATTTTTGATCTGTCAATAAATTCATTAATAAATTTATCGATGATTTTACAAACATGTCATGTGCACTAAAAAAATTACTCATTTTATTTTGTTGGTAATTTTTTCAATACTATTTAGCATATCACCAACATAAAAACCATATGTAATTTTTTTTAATAAATTAATAATTATAATAATATTTATAAATTTTTTTTTTAACCTTCTAAAATATATTGATGGATTGATTTTGTCGAGCTAATAGTAGCATTAGCATTTACTGTAATTTGTTTTCAATTCCTTATAATATATCAAATCAATTAGTCTTAGTAACTCAATTAGTAATAATTTTAAAATAATTTTGAAACCAAGTGAAACCCATTCCGAAGAGTCAAAGATTGAAATTGGTGAACGAGGTGTAGATGGACGAAATTGAAGGAAACTTGTTTGCATTCATCTACATTAATTTATTGATGGCATCGCTATAGCGAAGCAAGCAAGTCAAGAAGGAGAGCATCAACTAGGTCACATGTTAACGGGCAAGCTGGGAAGGAATTATTTTCTTCATGGGGTTCTCTTGACAAGAACTACATTGCATTTTCTAGACGAGGTATTTAGTCAATTAGTTGGGATCTATTTATAATTTACATGACAAACAGTGACATCTAATGTTCAGTACAGTCATGAATATTGTCTGCCTTTAGGTTAAAATTGAGTCAGTAGAAGTCTACATATTCAAATGACTTCAAAGAGTTGATTTGATAATTGAAAATATATTTTCATTTTCTTAATTCTCCTAATTCAAACATCAAAATCAGTATCTAAAAAGGGTTTATATTAAGTTATTTTAAATATATCAAAACTATATCTTAAGATTTTTATTTTTTTCTTAACAACGAATGAGTCGTGGGTCCAATCCATTGAATAAAAAATCATGTCTTTTCTGGTACTAGTTGAGGGTGCTACGTAAGCTCCAGTGTGCACTGCAACAGTCCATTGTTAGAAGAAACTGAGTAAAATTAATTGGGTTGTGGTGTATATCTTCTTTATTTGTAAGTTTAAAAATTCTTGATAGTCTTTACTCCCGTATAGGTACAAGACAGGAGAGGTGTTGCTAAATTTTTAAAATAAAAAAAAGGAACTGTTTAATTTTTTTATCTATTAATTTATATAGATGCATAAGGAGGTGCTGTTTCTATTTTAGATTCATTTATTTGAAAGTATAAATGATTAAATTTGTAATAAATATTTAATTTTTATATTATTTTAATTATTTTTATACTTCTATTCAATATATTTAAAAAAAAATATTATTGATGGGGTTACCAACAGAACAACTTCGTCGATATATTTTAAAAAGAGTTGGAAAAAATTTATTACAAATATCGCTGTTATTGTTAACTCACCTACAAAATTACAAATAGTATTCTATCGGTGATATATTATATTTATCAATTAATATACTAACGAACAAATAAAAATATTTATGGCATTACATATAATTTTCCTGTCAGTGATATGTTAAATTTATTGATGGAAATATCTATTGATTGAAGTGGGAGAAAAAAGTTTGGTACCCTTTATCCTTCTATAAATCCATCGATATATTTATTACTGATAAACTCACCAATAAACTATAAATTATTAACAAGAGTTTTTTTGATGGATTGTTTCCGTACGTAAGTCTATCAATAATATATGTACCAATGAACTGTAAGTGTAAATATCAACAAAAACTTTTATTGGTAAAATTGTTAAATTTGATAGTGATTTTTTTTTTTAAAAAAAAGATTTTGTAATTTTGTTTATTTTTCTTTTTGTCTTGTTATCGTGATTTCATAACCTGATATATTAATTTGGTGAGTTGACATAGGCAAACTCAATTTTTTTTATTCTTGTAATTTCTAATTTTTTATCTTTTTTTATGTTTGATTTTTTTATTTCATCTTTCAACATTTAATTGATTAAAAAATAAGTTTGGGGATTTTTCTATGTTGTTTTGGTTAAATGACTTGGATGATTATCTTAATGAATTAACAAAGTTTTACACATAGTTTTAAGACCCGGTCCGGTGGCCAGCTCAGTCCAAGGCCTAGATTCCAAGTTTTAACCGAGTCACTTGGTAAATCAAGTTAATTTTTAAAAAAAAGATTAAAACAACATTGTTTTAGTAAAAAAGCAAAAGTTAACGGGTTTGCAATCGGGTCTTACCTGATCAACCGAGTCGCCGAGTTAGTCAGGTCACACTGAATTTTTACTTTCCCTATTTTTTCTTGAATTCAATTCAGTTCCAGCCCTAGATCGGCCGAGTTCTGAGTCAATCTGTTGGGCGGGCTGGTTTCAAGACTATAGTTTTACATTGTTTTCTTTAACTTATTTTCTTTTTCATTTCAATCATTTTATATTGATTTATTTCATTAAAAATTAGTTTTTTTTATTTAAAATACACTTACATCGACTCTACATCATATTTGCTCAAAAACATTTTTTATCTAACCCGAGAGCGCAAATCACATGGCTATTTCCATACCCGCTTCGACAATCTCAAAGTTGGTTATTAGCGTGTAAGATAACGTAGAAACTGTCCTCGAGCCTATTGCCACTTAATTTTTTCTATTCTATCATAAATAATATTTTTACATCAATTTATGTCAATCAAGATCATTTTTTAAAAACAATTTTAAAAAAAATATATTTTTCATAAATATATGGCAGTGGGTAAATTTATTTTAATATCCATCGTATTATAGCATCTCAATTATAAATATAATTATCTTTTCATAAATAGTATTTTCTATCATGAATCTCTAACATCTTTATTCTTTTTTTAATTGTGAATTCCACCATAGAATTTCCATATCAAGAGAGGAAGATGCTCCTGCTCCCAAATAAAATAAAATAAAATTTTACTTGAGTGGTAATTTTTAAGCACGGTAAAAGAGTGATCAACGGCAAGGAAAAAAAACACAAATGGGGTTGGAGGAAATTATTTTCCATAAAGAGGTGTTATATATATATATATATACCTGACTTAGGTGAATCTCTTTATTGGTGCTGATCTGTGTCGGAATATTTATAGAGAGCATTGGACAGACAGATTGCAGAAACTTGAAACAAGATTATTGCCACTGGCGACTTCATCTCGGGTACTGTAAAATGGAATGGGCTAATAGCAACATGTATGAAAGAGCGTCTCTTTGCTGAATTTGATTCAACAAATCATCATTCACTTATTGAAGACATTGCTTTGAAGATCTGATTTTCAAATGAATCCTACAACAAACAGAAGATTTTGAATGGTTATGAATATTCCACCCATCATTTTATTGTCCAGCTGAGCTCCTTTACAGGAGTGGTATTGCTTAGTGGTACTTCCTGTTCCTGATGGCTAGGTTTAGAACATTTTACCGGTCTAGTTTTAGCTGGGATTTAAACAGAGGTTGTGGTTATTTTGATTACAAGATTTGGAGCTGCTGGTTACAAAAAGGGCACGCAGACACGGGAGAGAAACCAAGGTTAGACACTTGTCACCACCAATTTTCACATTCCTCTTATCCTCGCAAAGCTATATCTCAGTTTTTCCTACAAAAGGGTATAAACAAACGTGGATTATTTTCCACAAGCAGATTGGATTCTCTGCACCCTAAAATATGATGGCAGAGGATCCATGATGGTAAAGAATTTCAATGTGAACAACAATAACGAAAGGGATAGGGTGAATATCTATGATACAAGTTGCATATGCTGACGCTTAAGGCTGTAACTGTGGTCCAGAAAGGAGATGATCACAGACTTCGTTACAAAATGGTTCCCAAAAGCCATATATGCAAGAAAAGCCAATAGGCAATAAGGCCTAGCCTCGCCCTGGGACGACTCATTAGTACTCGGCCGCCAGATACCCTGCACAGGTAGAAAGCAGGTTAGTTTCAAGTTGGTTCACTGAATTGAATCCCACTGACAATAAAAAACAGGTGAAGACTGATTAATACATATCCTCATACACACCAACTTATAAATTGATCACATTGAAAGTGCAATACGAAATGTTAGAAACAGCAATTTGAGCTTTCCTTATTTTTTTTCCCTTACTCCCTAATTATTCATTTATGCAGTTTTAGCACTTTACCATATGCTGTCGATTCGATCTGCAGCTGACTTTCCTTGTTTCGGAATGAGACCTGATGTGTTAAGAGACTTGAAAACATGACCTGTCATAAAAAATTATACAAGATAAAGTTTTCAATCCAAGAAACTTCTATCCAGGAGAAGGAAGCCGTAGAATGCAAACCTTTGTCCTCGTCAGTTTCCTCGTGGTTGATCAGACTACCAGATTCCAGATCAACATTGAGTGCAAGATGGTCGGTAGATCCTTTTCGCATAGTTCGCACATGAGCAGCTGAGGCAGTAGATGAGGCA